TAGACGGACAGGAAAGCAAACAACGTAAGGCAGCAAAGGAAACAACAACAAGACAAACAACGACTATGCACAAACAACACCCGAAAAAAATACAAGCATAAACAAAGGAAAGACTGAAAAAAATAAAAAGATGATGAAAGATTGTTTCGTCGGAAGTGCACCGACTCATCAGGAGGTTGAACCCTCGACAATCTGCGGAGTACCGGTTTTGGATGTTTTGGGTCATGAACCCTTTGACCCTTGTTGAAGGCAGATTGCCCACAAGCGGAACATAGCAGCGAGCGGCACCCGTGTGAAGCACCAGGCAACACACCCGAAGCCACTCAACTGCACAACACCAAAGACGACTGCAAGGAAAGACACGGCACGCAGGACTTGCAGCAAGGCAACCAAGCAGTGAAGCACCAGGCAACACCACCAAGACAACCACACTGCAAGGGACGACAGGGCGAGCGTACACGCAGCAGAGCAACCATGCTGTGAAGCACAAGGCAACATCAACACGGCAGCCGGACTACACGGCACGCAGGCAAAGGACACGGAAGGCATGACCAGCGGAAGGGCGGCGAGGCAGCGGATCAGCGAAGCGCAAGGCAACGCCACAACCCGACCACACCACACAGCGAAGACAACAGCTTGCCAAGAACGACCTGTGAGGCAAGCGGGACGGGCAGCAAGGCAGTGGCGGAGCGCAGACGAGGCCGTGCACACATCCAACATGGAGCAAAGCAGCACATCACCTACTCACATCACGGGTAAACTCCACAGACTGTTGGTTCCCACCACCCACTGAGCCAGGGGGACACTCCGACGATAATCCGTCATCACCTACAGGCAACACAAACATCCCGAACTGAGCGGCCCCCATAAGAGTGCAGTTGGCACTCCAAATGAGGAACCACCGACTATTTGGCACTACGTAAGGGTGCTCAGTTGGGCACACAAAAAATACTTAGAAAAACTCAGATGGAGGACAGACAGCAGGAGAAAGACTGAAAGACATAAAACTCATTGAGTGTGTGTGTGTGTGTGTGTGTGTGTGTGTGTGAGAGAGAGAGAGAGAGAGAGAGAGAGAGAGAGAGAGAGAGAGAGAGAGAGA